AGTCAAATCTTCATTCTTCGGTATTAATGTAGCACTATTTGTCACTGAGCCATGCATGCCAGAATTGCTTGGTTATTCCTCTCTTTTTTTCCAGCTCTGCACACGAGTCATGACATTAAGCAGGCGCAGGAACAAGTAAAAATATTGGAAAAATTTCTTGCCGATCGAGCGGAGGTATACAAGAAATTTAAAGAGTGGAAGGAACTTTGGGCTGAAAAAGTGGAATTTGAGAGCAAGGCGAATGACAAGTCGCGATACTACAATCGTGGTTGCCAGCTGCAGAAGGCCTTACAGGTGCGCAGGTTGTTTTGGTTGTAAGTTGTTTAGGAGTTAGGCATGTCACGAAATCATAGTGCAATATTTACGACTTTTTTGGTTCATCGATCACAGCTTACTGTCTTTGTTACTAAGATGAACCCACCCACCGGACGCAGCTGCTTGGTTTTTTTGTGCTCCAGCTTATATTCATCGCTTCAGTTTCGTGTGCTTTTCATTTCTTCATAGCTTGTCCAACTGGTCATTTGTATCTTCATAAGTTCTATCGCGGAAAACTCAGAGAAGTCGGCCATTAAACAGCCACAAAGAAAAAGAAGGAGAGAGGTGTGTCTTTCCTTGAAAGGCAGATACACAGTAGATGTGCTGCCTCCCTGAACAAGGGACACAAGGGCCGGTGGTGTAGTGGTAACAAATCACGTCCGGACGTAAAGGGCAGTGGTTCGATTCCCTGCTGGTTCAGGATGGTTTTTGAGGAAGGGCTTCGTTCACGACAAGTACCAATTTTTGCTTGCTTGGCAATGGATTTCTTTTTCTGTGTCCCAAAAAATGAAAAATACATGCGAGCAAGCAAGAATTTCCTTTACTTTCCTGAATTTAGTCTTCTTTTTTAACGTATTTCTTTACTTTGCAGCGACAAAAGGTTATTGAGCATCGATTGCCGATTGTACAAAGGGAGTTGAAAGAAGAAGTGGAAAAATACGAAGCGACACACGACAGCCGGATTCAGATGGATGGCCTCACTCCTTGCGAACATATCGAGGCCCTTATTGAGCAACATAAAGCAAAGGGATTGGAACGAAAACGAAAGGTTTCAAATTCTAAGCTCCAGTGGCTTCTCTTAGAACGTAAATCTGGGGAGGGCTCAAAAACACCGATATTTTGATCGATTTATTCAAAATCACCGATATTTTGATCGATGATTTTTTTTTTTTTGGTTGTTTCAGACAGTCTTTAAATTGTTTCTGCACTTGAACACCTGTGAAAGCGTAGTGGATGTTTCAGAAGCAGGCAGATGCATCGGCTGAAAACCTATCAACCGTAGTTACGCCGATGAAACGTGGTGCTCCGTCAACTTTCGCTACTCCATGTTCTTCCGCCAAAGTGGCCAAGGTTCGACCCCTTAAACGGTGCAGTCAATCGGCTTCGAAGGTGCGCTAGTCATTATTTTGCTGTGTGTGCGCTTTGGCTTGAGCGGCTGATTATTTTGATACTGCTCAGTGGTGGCACCTAACTGATTTTCGCGCGGATCAAATAATGGCCGATTTTTGCACCAGCAAAATTTAACGCTTTGGATTTTCTTTCTCGTCGTTTCTGGGCTTTAGTAAATTTCGCCACCAGCAGTTTTGTCTAGAATATTTGACTTAGCTATAATACAAGTCCGATTAAAGTACCTGTGAAGCTTTAAAAAATGCGCATCCCATTTTTTTTTTTAAAAATTTTCCATAGTTGAAATTGAAAATGCTACGCTTAAGATGTATGATTTACGCTCGAGAACGCCGTCAGTGTGTGCAAGTAATATTAGCTTGCACTCAATCATAACTCCTGTTCGGCCACCAACGGTAAGTTTTTTTTGATTATGAGTCATTTTAATTCAAATTTTACTTTTAATCTAAATTTCTGAGTTCATTTTAACATTCGCTATCCTATGTCTTGGAAGAAGTTGGCAGCTTTGTCTTAAGACAGAAGCAAATATGCGCCACAATTTTCAGCCGAACATCGCGGACTAGCTAATTTTGGTTGTCTCAGCCTGCGGAGGGTAGTTTGGGTTTTCGACCCCAATAATTTCAGCTGGCGAATTCGTTCCTATGACAGTTGAAAATTGCTCGAGCGCG